CCAGACTTGCATACTCTGACAATGATTAGAACCCACGGTTACCATGTGGCACATTTATGTTGTATAGTGATATATTAACTCAAGGTTAAATAGTTAAATAGGGAAGATTTTTTGCACTGAATAGTAAAGATGTAAACAATGATCTAGAAAATGTTTTTTTTGTATGGTGACCATTTGTCTTTCTATATTATATAAAATACTGAAATACAGTTTGTTATAGTTTATTTACTGTATGTTTTAATAGTCCTCAATGTACGAAAAAATCCCCACTGGCATGGACAGTGCCTTTGAAAGTTGCCCTATGTGTAAGCTTAAACCTGCCTAACCAGAGATGACGGAAACAAGTTCCTGTCTTGATATGAACCTTTTCATCATGTCAGCTAGAATGTATTTGACAGGCTGTCTCTTAATCGGTGATGGAGGCAGCTAGTTATATTATATTATGCCATTCACCTTAGGATGAACCTTAATGGGCCCCCTTGGCCTTGCATCATTTTTTAACTACGCATATAACGATGTAACCTGTGTCATCATAAATGCTCAAAACAATGTGCACCAATATGTCTACATGGAGCAAGTACTACAAGCTGCGTATTCTCAAAACGATCTTAGCGCTAGGATATCTTAGGGTCTTCACTTCTAACACTGTTTCTAGGATATCTTGGGGCTCAGATCGTTCTGGAATTCATGGACAGTAATTAATGTATTGAGCACTATTTTAACAGCGAAACACATCGTTATCATTGTAAGTTATTATTACCAGTGATGTGCCAAGATATTCTTTGTCAGTTTTGATGATACACTACGAACCTTGTGATGGGTGAAGAGAGGCAAACAACAATTAAAGGTAGATTGTGATATATTATGAAGGTTATATTTACAGAGTCATTACATGTATATATACATAAAAACTAGAAACAGAGCAAGAGTTTTCAACCTTATTCTTTCAAATACCCCTTTCATGTTCCTTGATCGATTTCACTTCCCAAGCTTCCCTCGGACTATTTTGTAATATTCTCTTAGGTTTTCTTTTGCAATCTTTTCATGTTAAAGACTATAGTCTGATTGAATTGAATAAGTTTATTTATAATTGTCCCAAAATTGTATGTTGAACTACAAAGCGCCTCATTGTCGCCCAAAAATTTCAAAATTACCACCTGAAATAATTGA